AAAAATGTCAAATTTTTTTTTAAATTTTTGTAATTTTAAAAATTGTCATTTTTATATTTAAAATGTATGCTTTAATTTTTTCAATATATAAAATAAACAATTGAATTTTATTTTTCAAATGCAGAACAGAAGAAGTATTTGTGTTGTTCTCTTGAAGCAGTACTCGAGCTTTGTTTACTTTCGACTAACTTTGCAGTTAGCAGACTATTATAAGTACGGAGTTTGAAAACATGAATGCTAACTAACTCTGAAGAACTAAATTTTGCTTACATCAGCAAGCAATACTTTGATTAACTTTGTAGATACTGACTAGTTTTATTTAAAATCAAATAACAGCAAGCAAAATTTATTTCATTTAAGTGAATGTATTCTTATTATTTATATTTTTGATGAATACAAAAGTATTCATCACTTTCTGTACTTTTTTTTTGCTAAAAATTTGTTAAAAATTTTAATAATTGATTTTAAAAAGCAAATAAAAATTAGTTTGTAATTAGTGATGTGTTTTAGAAATCAAAATGCGAAAGGCATTACGGTTTTATGATTGGAAATATGGAGATGAAGAATCGAAGGCAGATTATTGTCCAGAATCTATGAAGACTGTTCGGTATGGTGGTCCACAAGTTCAAGAAGATGATGCTGAAATGGTCAATATAAAATATTTTTCATATTTTTATATTAAAAAATATGTCACAAATTTTAATTAAGATAGCTTGAAAAAATAAAATTCATAGAATTTTGCTTTGTAATTAAAAAATAATGTATCTAATATATCTCATATCGTAAGTAAAAATTTTTGACTAAAAACTTGTCGTGATATTTTAAACTACTTGTTACTATGAACTTTTATTATATTTAGGAAAAAAAAGCTGCAGAAGAAAGAGCACGTAAAAAAGCAGAAGTACGTAAACGTCTTGAAGAAGCAAGTAGAGCCAAAAAGGCCAAAAAAGGCTTCTTAACGCCAGAAAGAAAGAAGAAACTTAGAGTTAGTTTTGTTACTTTGCAATATAGAAAACACTTCAATTAATTCGCATGAGCAAAAATTTGAATAACAAAAAATATTTAAGAATAATGTGCTAAAAAAATATGCACAAAATTTGCAAATTGAAACTTAAAATGACAAAAATTTTTTGAAGTAAAAAACTAAAATTAGTATTTGTACATAATTTATTTTGTAGAAATTATTAATGATGAAGGCAGCAGAAGATCTGAAGCAGCAGCAAATGCTGAAGGAGCAAGAACGACAGATGGTTTTACAAGAACGGATTCTACCATTACCTGATCTGGATAATACACCTGATGGTTTGCGTAATTTCCATTTCCATTTTCGTTTTTTATTTTAATTGGAAAATAATTCTGAATAATTTGCATAAAAATTATCATAGTATTGATTGAATGATATAAATGATTATAACAGGCATAATTAACATCCCTTATAATTATACTTATGTAAAAATTCAAATCAGACTGAGCTAATCAAGTTTGGTAAAAATATGAAACTACATATTTTACATTATTACTTCATAAAATACATAAATTAGTATGTATTAAATATTCAATAAACATAGGCATTAAGTTTAATTGCATTAAGGGTCAAGACTTGCTTATTAGATTACAACCAAAGATTCTGTCACAAATAATAAAGCATTTGGATTGAATAAAACTAAGTGAAAGAAAATGTTTAACTGCAATGACCTCTCAAGCAGATTGCAATATGATTACATTTTAATAGTGATAATGATATCAGAATTAAGTTTTGAACTAAGTGCATGTTATTAAATATGTTAATATTTATAAATATTATTATCAGAAGATTTAGATAAAAATTGTTGAATGTTGCAGTAGTATATGATAGTGATAAAAGAACCAAGTTGCTTTATCTAATATAAGTTTTAAATTTAACAGAGTGATTATCAGTATATAATGTACTAAAAATATCATTATTTTGCATAATTAATTTTCACAGTTAATAATCATATTCAAATAATAACAATAAATAATAATGATTTTATGTCATTTGGTTTTAATTTTATTACCGCAATTTCTGTAATATAAATTAATTTTTTTTGCACTCACCTGATTATTACTTTAACTTGTTGTAATTAAACCAAATCAGTATTGAAATTATTACAAAACTATTCAAATATTCTTTTTATATTTATATTTTTACATTATTGAACGACGTATAAACAGTAAATAATTAATTATTAAATTTAAATTTAAATTGTTTTAGAAGAACTTGAAGAAATTGCAAAAAAAATGGCTGACAGACTTTTGCAATTAGAATGTGAACATTATGATATTAATTATATCGTACGTCAAAAAGACTTCGAAATCAACGAGTTAACAATTTCTGTCAATGATCTTAGAGGCAAATTGTAAGATTTTCAAAGATTAAATCAAACAAAAAATAAAAAAATTAAAAACTTAAAATATATCTTATAATAATTTAATTATCTACAATTCTCATAATTAACTGATAATTTTTATCAATTACACATTTTAAATATTGCAAAGAAAATAGTTGTTTTCAGTGTGAAACCAACACTGAAGAAAGTATCGAAAACAGACAACAGGTTGCTTTTTGCGCCATTTTTTAGCACTAATTATTTAGCTTTTTTTTTCACTTTTTTAATACTTTTTTTGAGAAAGAATTTTTCAAAAAATTAAAAATAGCATTTTGAATGTTAGTAAAAAAAATTTAATTAATTTTTTGTTTTTTTTTTCAAAATAATTGAATAAACTTTTAGGTTTAATAAACTGAAGAAGAAAGATCAAAACTTTGTTGACTTTAGAACTAATCTGAAAAATGTGGAAAGTAATAAGTTTAGTTTGAAAGAGGTAAGCATGTTTAATTTAACACAAAATAAGTATCTGTAGACTTTAAAATATGCAAATTTTTGATTCATCTTTCTTGCTTTCCTAATTTTATATTTTACTGAAAACAATTATTAAAAATTAAAATATGTTCAAAAATAAAAAATCACACTTTCTAAATTTTTATTCTGTTTCAAAGAATATGCCAGAATTGTTGAGATCTGAAAGTCTTTAAGTCTTTATCTGAATAATAATAAGTATGAATATAAGTTTTCCAGTACTGTCCTTTTCTGCAAATATTTGAATTTGCAGTTTGATGTAAACAAATTTTTAATTTCTGGTTATTCGTTTTACTTAATATTTATTCAATTATTTGGTAAAGTTAAAACATTTTGTGTTTTGTAATTTTTTTTTGTAAATTTCTTACAAAAACTTCGATAAAAAAGACTTAATAGAAATCAAAATGGGTAAAACGTTTTACTCAAAAACATTTCGATAATTTTACTTTCCACAAAAGCTTTACAAAAATAATAATTGCTTTCAATAATAGCAAAATATAAAATATATATCTGCAAGAAATGCTTTTATTAAGTAATGAACAAATATTAATCAATTCAAAATTTGAAATTTGTACTTAAACACTTCTAAATCAAAAATGAATTAAAAATGATTCATTTAAGTAAGAAAGTATAATCACTGAAAAAATGAACTAAAAATATATTTGCTTAATTTCTAAAACTATCTGAGATAAAATAAAGTTTATTCCATGTTAATCATAAGTAAATATATAATAATAATAATAATAATAATAATAATAATAATAATAATAA